CTAGCATGTGAAATGAGTGCAATTGTGCGTTAGTTTGAGCATTCTTTGGCATTGCCCTTCTTTGGAATTGGAACATAATGATGCTTTTAGAAACTCATAAAAAGGTGGTATAGGTGGTGGTCATCAGACTCCTCCAACCTATAAATGTTTTGGTGCTGTACCTCACAGAACTACTAGTAGCTGGAACTGCAATCAGCATATCTAAGCACATGCCAGGCAGGGAGAGCTAGATTATATTGTTGTTTTGTGAGAATCTCCTTCCGTTTGTTTCATTGGGTCACTAGGATCCACATGCAGCACAGCTGTTTTATGTTTGCTCAGAAGCATATCCTATTGAGTTAAATGGCACTTTCTCACAAGCAATTGCATTGGATAGCAGTGTTAGTAACAAAAATTCTGGATTCAAATACATACACTGATTCAGAGGATTTTAAAGATTAATATACAGTGAAACCAGAGGTTTTTCTCTTGGGATTGATAGACAAACAGTTGGAGAAAAGTCATGGAACTTTGTTTTTATACATAATAACTGCAGTGAGATTATTAAATGTACAAATATGGAAAGATTCGGCACTACCCACAATGGAAGAATGGTTGGTGAAGATGACGGAACTTGCTGAGATGGCTAAATTGACTTCTTTGATTAGAGAAAAGATGATGTATTTATTGCTGACTGGAAACCCCTTATGGACTGTTTGCATGAAAGAGAAAAAAATGAACTTATGATTTATGGTTTTGATGATTAGACAGGATAGACTATAGAAAAAAATTATGTTGTAACCATAGAATAAGAGATAAATTTATAATTGTACTTATAACTGCTGTAAAGAAGATCAGAAACTGTATCTTTTTTCTTTCCTTTCTATTTTTCTTTTACTTTTTTCCTTGCACGTTTAGTTTTCTCTTTGATTTCTTTCTTCTTCTTTTTATCACTTTATAATAGTTTGTATTAGTTTTTATCTTTTTAAAAAAATCTTTAATAAAAATTATACCAAAAAAGAGATAGTGTTAGTAATTAATGAGTTAAGATCAAAAGCTCCCTGAGACCTTTTCTAGACTGAGGAGGATGAAAGCAAGATTCTATTGTTTGAGCAAATTTTTATTTTCTCCTTTTTTATATTGGATTACTGCATGGACCTCATACTCAATATGTTCTTGTGAGTCGTTTCTAACACAAACAGTTTTAAATGTGTGCCTAACCTCATTAGAAAGGGGGAAAGGAGCACTACTTGAGTTTTGAAATATATAGCTAACACTGAAATTTTGTAGTCACATGCAGTTACATACATGCTGTGCATTTGACAGATTGAATGCTTGGATGCTGCTTCCCAAGGACCAATCTACACATCATCACTGGTTGAATCAAAACTTCTTGTTTCATAGCTGAATGTCTGAATGTCTGGGCTGAAGGCTGTTCCTTTGTAGATGAGAGGCAGACCAAAAAAGCCCTTTGTTGTTTAGTGATGTTTACTTTGGAATGATTGCTCCAGGCTTGCAATTCATGATCTGGAATGTGTGCACACCTGTTTCTTGTACAATTTTTTTTAAGACTTCTATCCCACTTTTTTCCCCCCCATATACAACTCAAGGCGGCAAACATACCAATACTCCTTTTTCCTCCTATTTTCCCCACAACAACCACCTTGTAAGGTGAGTTGGGCTGGCCCAAAATCATCCAGCCAGTTTTTCATGCCAGAGGCAGGACTAGGACTCAGTCTCCTGGTTTCTAGGCCAACACCTTAACCATTATGCCAAACTGGCTCTCTGATTTCTGAGCATTATTTCATTTGCATGAGTGCCTTTTTAAACAAATGCAAAAGATGATGCAGCGTCTTGAATTAGCCACAATTCCTGTTTTCCTTCCTTCTTTTGTATCAAGTTAAGAGCTTTGTTCACACAAAACACAGAGCCATTGTATACTTTAGTTAATGAACTGAGCTCCAGTAAACCAAATGTGAATCAAGTTAGTATGTAATAGAAATTCATATCTTTCTTATACATAACTACGGAATCCATGAATAAATACTTTTATTTAAAACATTTGCTAAAATGTTTTCATGGCTCAGTTAGTTTTTTTTTTTTTTTAATAGTCAAAGTAAAACAAGCATGGTACAATTCTTAATTCAAGTTTTATGAAATGGAGGTTGCAGTTTTGTTATTGTTTGTGTTTCTTGCTTTTTCACAAGAGCTCAAGATAGTGTGTGTGAGGTCTCCCTTGCTTTTCCCCCCAACAGTTCTGAATGGTAGGTTGGGCTGAAAGAGAATGGCCTGTAACTTACTAGTTGCCATAAATATACTCTGGAAATAAAATCTCAAGTTATATTTGATTCCTGGTGACTACATGGCTACATCTGTGTAGTTTGCTTTACAACAAATCAGAATTTGTCTGACATTTGCCTTCTTTTAGAACCCCCCCCCCCAATTTCTTAGTTTAGTCCATGCCTTGGGATTTTCTAGTGGGATCCCATCCCCATATTAACCGATTCCAGCTGAGATTTTTCAGGGTTAGTTGGATGTTGCCACCTGCTAAGAGGGAGTTATTGTTTGCACATTGCAGTTTTCTGAAGTCTTCAGAGGTATCTCTTGATGGGGGAGCACTGCCGCTACAGGAGCAATTTCTCAACAGGGGTGGGGGGCATCTTACTGGATTCACAACTGCTGTTCAATGGACAGATGGAGGCCAGGAGACATTTTTTCAGCTCAAATGGGTGAGCCTTGGAATGTGAGAATGTCCCAAAGTAACTTATGCCCTCATCATACTTACTTAGGCTACTGTAATGCACTCTACATGGGGCTCCCCTTGAAGACCACCCAGAAACTGCAATTGGGATTACACATCGATATGAACATGTGATACCAGTGCTCTGCATTAGCTTCCTACTGGCTCCCAAGTGCCATTCAAATGGCAGTTTTTTTACCTTTAAAGCCCTATATGGCTTGGCATGAGATATTTCCAGGAGTGTCTTCTCCATCCAGTTTCAACTCAACAAATATGTAGTTCCCCATTTTTGTGAGGTTAGAAGTATAGAGACCTGCAGGTTCTGTTTTTCTGGTGCTGGGTCTGCCTCGTGGATTACCTTTCCTTCTGAAATTCAGTCAGCTCCCACTTTGTTAGGCTTTAGGAAACAGTTGAAAGCAAAGTTGTTTCGGAGGGCATTTGATTATGAATGTTAAGATTTTTGGGTCGATCTTTGTAATTTTTAAATTCAGCCGTATTTTATCATACTGTAGTTTTAAATGTTATTTTGATTGCTTTTTTTTAAATTCTTATTGTCTGTACTGTGGACATTTTAGGGTAATTTGATGTGATTGGAACCTGCAGCAATGGGTAGAAATCAAATAAATAAATAAAAATAAGGTCACTCTTGAAATGGTTAAGTGATAGTACTGATTACGCCAAAAATCAGTGTGAAGGTGGAGATGCCTTAATTGACACAAACAACAGCAGCAGTCCTTCCTGTTGTATCAGGTTGAAGAGTTCCAGGTCAAGCTTCATTCTGGTATTTCTCGGCTTTGTTTTGTTTTTTTCCTTTCTGTGGATTCGTTTTATTGCAAAGGACTATTCAGAGTGGTCCCTCCCGTCCCTTCAGCACCGGAGGACTCCGCCGTCCAGCTGCGCCAGTCTGTGAGCGTATTGGGGCAGGAATGTGGATGTGGGGATTCTCTCGGATTCAAGCCAGGGCTCACCTTGCCCGCGGCCTCCCGCGTTAATGCGTCCTTGCCTTGCCTTGCCTTGCCTTGCCTTCTCCCCGTCTACCGGCAGAGGTCAACCCTGCCTCTCCGGGACCGAGCTGGCTCCGAAGCGGAGCAGCGGGAGCTCTTGACATCATATCCAAGCTCCTCCTGCGCACGACCCCTTCCAGCTCTTAAACTCCCCCCTTTCTCTCCCCAAACAAAACATTTCCGCTGGCAAGAGTCGGCCGTAAACCTAGCCGGGCAGGGCTGGGGAGGAATGGGAGAGGTCAAGAGCAGAAGTCGACTCGACGCCGCCGGAGCAGCGCTCGCAGGGAGTCTCTCTGGGGCTTTTCCTTCGGCTGGGAGCAGGCGGAGGCCGCTCCGGCCGCTCTCTTCCAGAAGCCCCGCTGGGACCGAAAAGGCGCCCCTTTGGCCGGGCGCGCCAGCCGAAGCCTCCCGTCTTCCTTGAGCAGCCGGCGGCTGCAGAGGCGAAAGGGAAGGCAGGCGGGAGGGCTCAGGCGGGCCGAGGGTCGCGAGCTGCCCCGCTCCTACGCTATTTGAGACGCGAAACCCCCGAACGCGCCCGCCAAGAGGCGAAATGCCAGCCTTCGGGTTGCAAAGGTGAGGCGCTCGCCCACCTTCCTCGGCTTAGTGCGGACTGGCGTGTCCCCACGCACATCCACGCGCGCGCTCGCCCACATGCAGACACGCGCACGGGGGGACGAGCAGGAGCAGCCGAAGCAGGCGAAGATGGCAATGTCTGTGATCCAAGCGTGCCGCAGTCTGGCTCTCTCAACATGGCTGCTTTCCTTTTGTTTCGTGCATCTGCTGTGCCTGGATTTCACAGTGGCCGAAAAAGAGGAATGGTACACGGCCTTCGTGAACATCACTTATCCAGATCCCGGCGGCGGCGGCGGCGGCGGCAGCGAGCTGCGCAGCGAAAAAACGGAGTGTGGCCGCTACGGGGAACACTCGCCCAAAAACGAGGTCTGGGGGCAGGTGGTGATGACCTCGGCGGCCGCTGATAGGCAAGCTTGCGACCCCAATGCTAGGTTCGCCGTGCCGGGGTCCGGCAGGCTCTGGATCGCCCTCATTCCTAAAGGGAATTGTACTTACAAGGACAAGATTCGGCACGCCGCCTCCCAAAACGCCTCGGCCGTGGTCATCTACAACATAGGCTCCAGCAACGCCAACGAGACGATTACGATGCCCCCCGCAGGTGAGTGGGAGGCACAGCCCCCCCCCCCCCGTTCCCCCCCCCCCCCCCCACGTTCGCCCGCACGTCTCCGTTGGAGGATTTCGTTTCTGGACTCGGCTTACTCAGCCTTGGTTAGGCTGCCAAATACCCAAGAAGGTTATTAATAGCCAAGGCTTAGCCGGGCTTAATACCCTGGGGTCTGGCTCTTGCCTGAAAGGAAGCAGAGCTATGCGCCTGTCTTGTTAGAAGGCAAAATCTGGTGACCCTCTCCCTGTCTTCAGTGTTGAGTTATCTTGAGAAGTGGAGCAGTGAAAGTGGGAGAAACTGACCAGTGAAGGTGTTGGGCTGAAGTAGATGCAAGGAGGCTTTTGAATACACAAAAGTAGGGAGGGCAAGGTCAGGTGGGGCAAGGGAGAGGTCTGTAGTTGCACAATAAGCTAGTGTGTGTCGCACAACATGCTAACCCTTGGCTAACTAAAGCTTGGTTAACTGATTTTGCACAATACAATGAACCATAAAGTTCATTCATAAATTCATATATACTGGTGGGATACACACAGCATACTGAGTCACAAGGTAGCCATCCACATTTTAGCTGTACGTGTTGCACAAACCTTGTTAATGCCCTTGGTTTATGGTTTCCTGTCTTGTATAAAACCAGATAATGGGGTTCAGTCAATCACTGCTCATTAAACATTTGTAGGGTGTGAACACAGCCTTGGAGAATTGTTTATGAGGGATGTCAGCAGTTCACCAGGAGTAAACTGAACAGGAAATAGACAGGGAAATTGATGCAAGTAGGAAATTTGATGGAAGATTGTGCACTTTATAATGGTGTAGAGAGAAGATACATCAAGGTTAAGATAAAGTACCTATTGGAATAATGTTAGAAGAACATTTGCAGAATCTCTCACTGTTTCATCCCAAGTGAGCCCCTTGTTTTCAACCGCCCCTTCAAATTCAGTGAATTGGGCTCTATAATGACAGAGGCAGTAAGCTAGTCTCCACTGTTGTTGTGTCAGTTTTCTCTTAGGCTGCTCATCTCCTTCCTCAAAATTAAAGTATTCTCCTGTCAACACAGGATGCAAATCTCAGTTGCAGAGACCAATAAGGAGTAGCTGTGTTGGCTGACACTGTGCTTTCTGATATAGCATGGAAAGTTTGAAAGTTCTGGGCCGCTTCCTGAGTTCATGGGCTTGTGGTTTCCATGCCGAGTAGTGATAGTGTAAGCAGTTTTAGTGGCTTCTTTGGCTTCTGTTACTGTACTTGAGAAGCAGCTGTGTTACGCCAGGAATGCAATTAGATTAATTACTGCTACAAGATTTTACTTGGGAAATGCTATCTTAGTACAATACCCGTGATTCATGGACAGAGTAATTTATCTAATTTCATGTAATATATACATAGTTTCCCCACCAAATGTCTGCATGTATGGTGCAAACCTTTGCATTATTTATCCTTTGTAACACACTACTGGAGTTATGTGATGGTGCTTCTGGAGATAATCTAGTTTGCTGTATTAGAAAATCTTACAAAACAGTTACAAATTTAAAAGTTATATAAGACATAAGATATACATCCTAGGTATTTGCTTAAATACTGTTCTTTGGACATGCTGGAGCTTACTCTAATACACAGATAACACCTGTGAGTGTTTCTTCAGGGACAGTACCCTTAGTGAGCCAAGGATGTTTTGCTTTTTCAGAATTTCAAAAATAATTTTCTATTCACAGTGATATGCCATTTTAAGATATTTCTGTATCCAATTTTGAAACATTTTGTCAAACCCAAATGTTTCATGTTTGCTTACAAAATAAGAGCAAATATGTTTTCTCAATAATGAAATAAAAAAGATGCTCAGTAAAGTAACCTTCCATGGTGTTGCAGTTATTCTTCAAATTGGAGAAGTCTCCGTAGCCCAAAATTAGATTTGTTAAAAAATAGCATAAAACATATCGATCCCATTGGATTTATTTCCATCTGAATGATTTCAAAGGTGGATTATAATGTTTCCTACGTTACAAAAATTACTGTACAGTCGACCTGAAGGTATTTTGTTGATATAGTCTCCTGTTTTCTTTAGAGAATCAGACTATGTATTTTAAATAAGGGAATGGGAAAGCGCAGTGTTTCAGTTAATTTTTTTTAAAAATGTGTTGCTTTTATGCCTTCTAGGGATCCCTTAACCTGAAAAATCCTTTATAAGAACAATATGTTTTTTTATATTACTAATTTCAATACTCTAATAATGAATGATAGAGTGCAGCATTACTACTTGCTACTAAATGGTTCATCTCTACCATTTGCATGAGCTTTTGATTGCTTCAACATGGAATGTGACAAATTTTTATGATACTAAAAACTTGGGCCGGTCCATTGATTTTAGGTTATAAATAGAATACTTGATCCATACAGATACTTAAATCAGGAAAGCCTGTGCAGTGAGAATATTTAACAAAGATACAGGTTTAAAAGTTAGAATGATGTGTTTTCCCGTAGAATTTCATGTAGTTTGTGTTGTAAGAAATATTCCACTATTTCTCTTAATATTGAGCAGCCTCATGAACTGCCATTTAGACCTCACAGCTTCTTGGATGCTTATTTTTAAGTACTGAAGTTAATCTGCCTTAATTTTATGGACATATGCAAATATATTTAGAAGTAGTATTCTGCTAAAAAAAAAAAAAAGGAGAATTATTTCAGTGATCCTTACTATAATCCTGTATACAGACTGATGTCGCATTGATATTGTATATTTTGCAACAGCAGATGAGTCAGTATTATTGGTTAGAATCTAAAAGAGCATGACTAGAATTCTGCAGGAGATAAATCCTATACTCGGTAACTCTTTCCTGTCTGTTCCTGAAAGGCTCTCACAGGATTCAGTCTAGTCTGAAGAGCTGCAGTAGTTAGAAAGGAGTTTGTAGTTGTAAACTTTCCAAGAGCAGGAATTCTTCCTTCTCATAGGTATCCCAGCCATTATTCTCACATTGACAGAAAAAGATCCTCTTGCCACAGACTTGTGAATTTATCATGGCTAAAAGAAGACTTTATATTATTGGCAGAACTAGCCACCAATACAATAATTGCACAAGCTGGAAAACATTACATTAATCTATGAAAATTCAAAGAAATTATAGCTGTGTTGGTCCTTTGAGGAAAAATCCTATTAGTTGCATAATACCTTTTTAAGAATCGGCCAAAATGTCCATCCTGGACAATGAAAGATGTTAGAACAGAATATCAGTGTTGGATCTTCCCCTCTTCGATTTCTAAAGGCCAAATTTGTGTGCTTGTTATGTGCAAGACGCTTAACCTGCATGGATGTGATAGAGGAAACTGGATAAGTATCAGGCTTAAGACTAAGGTATGCGTGGAGGAGAGACTTAAACTTATCCCACTATGCTGCAGTCCTAGTAAAATTTGCTGCCTTAAGTGCTGTTTCCTGTAGGAGGGAAGTTCCCATTGATATCAAAGTGCATTCCTTGATGAATTAGTTTCAGATCAAGCATGAGAGAGCCAGTCTTTCTGGCAAAAGCTGGGTTCACCTATCATGCTAAGTCATGTAGTGATGTCTAATTCTAAGCATTGTGATTGGCTTGAGCCTCATGTGTGAATCAGGCAATTATGGTTTATACAACAAACTATGAATAAACTAAATGTAGTGGTAAAACCAAATTCTGAAGAACTTCCTTGCCAGTCTCATCTTGGTTGCAAATTTTCTTCTAATCTCAAAGCAAAGCCGATTGTCATTATGCCTGTTTTATTGCACACATATTCCATATTCTAAATCCTGCCTTTTTAAATAGAGCTCACATTGATGTAATTTGAATTGCTTTCAGAAAATACAGACAGCATTTTGTACCATTTCTGATTATAACAATTATAGCTACTAGCTCTGACATAATATATTCCAGATTTATTTTCATATGGAAAGCATTACAATGGAATGTTCTTCCACATTTTCCCCATTTCTACTGATGACTCCCCAGATAAAAACAATAATGCTGTCTCTGAAAATGTCTTGTGAATTAGGAGTAAGGGATCCTTATCTGAGAGCTAGCTGTGTTGTGCAGTGTATTTGTGTATGAGAAAGGAAAATTTCACATTCAGAGGGCTGAATACTTTGAATAGTACAGCAGGCAAATAAAGAGTGCCATGATATGAAGTAAAATAATCTTAAGCCTTTCCTTTCCATTTCACATGGGTCATGCCATATTTGTGTATCTTTTTACAGATCACTTCTTATACAGTCCTAAAGTTAGTTGTTAGCTGTTAAAACGTGATAATTATCCAGTTTTACCATCCTAGAGGATTGTTATCTTGATATGGTAGGGCTTGGAAGCTTCAGTGACCCTGAGAGTGATGCTGGCAGAAGCTTCTAGTAGTGTTATCTTTGCTGGCAGGGGAGAGGTGAAGCTAAAATAATCCACAGTAAAGGTGCAAAATATTTTTAAGAAAATCAGAGAAATCACAAGGCAATTTACAGCTAAGATAGGAATATCTGAGTAATCATGGAAGAGATCTAAGAGATGCAAATGAAACTGAAAGAAGATGGAAACCCTATACAAATGGGATGATAAAATAATAGAAACATTTGCTGAGAAAGAGTATATTGAGGAACTGACTCCACTTAAAAGTGAGATATTGTAAGTAATAGACCAGCTGTCAAATAGAAAAGCACCTAGTGCAGATGAAATGCCCATTGAACTGATTAAAGCTGCAAGAGAAGATGCAGTTCTGAGTCAGCAGTATGGCGTAAGACTGTATGGTCCAGAGATTGGAAATGATCAATGACTATAGTTAAATGGAAGAAGGCTGATCCAAGAGAATGCAATTTACTAAACTGTTCTACTAATTCCTCATGCAAGCAAGCTTTTGATTAAGATATATAAAAGTTGAATTTGAGCCACTCATGTGAAGAAACATGCCAAATGTACAGGCTGGTTTCAGAAAAGTAGAGGGGTGTGATCAGATAGTTAATGTAAGGTGGAACAAATGAAGAAAACTAAACAATATAA